TATATATATATATATATATATATATGATTGATTGAAGAGATAACAGTATCATCATTTGCTATCAACTCTATCACTACATCATATGTAGTTACCCTATGACGTAATATTCCTATCAAAAGTGCAAAAGTACATGAAATACTGCAGTGCAATTGATACATGTTTATATATTTGTTTCGCAACCCACCTACTGGACGAACAAAAATAATTTCAATATAATCACCATCATCGCCAATAATGCTGCCCTATGCTCTACCTCCTATCCACGACCCACTGCATGCGCATGTTTCTATACCTTTAAAAGCAGCGACGACCTTCCCGGCTGCCAGGACACCGCCAGGCCCGTGGACGACCGCCAGGACCGTCGAGCCTGCGCCTGCGTCAGGTAGTTCAGCGTCGTCGAATGTAATCGAGTTGTCTCCTGTCTTAATGTCCTCGGTGGTGTCCTTGAAGACGATGCGTTGCTCTGCCTCGCCATCAACAGGAGGGTCGATCACCACGTATTCGATGTATTCGACCCCCGTGACGTCAGCATCGACCGAGAACTTGAGCTCCATTTGCAAGGGATTGGTCGACACCTCCGAGAGTTGAGTGATGGAGAGAGGAACGGCTGAACCTAGACGTTGGGAAGGAAGTGGTTCTTTATAATGGCAACAATGTAGATTTATATTTCCATATTTGCATATCCCTGTGCTCATGTACCTGTATACATCTACATATCCCAGTGTACATGTGGGTTTATGTATACATGTACCTATATATGTATGAATATATATAAACACATACAGAGTGTGTACACCTGCGCGTGTGCAATGTACATCGTGTATGTGTGTCTACTGAGTAACCCTTAAATACAAAGCTGTGTTCGGGATTACCCCTGCAGCTCACCAGCGGTCGGCGGGGTAGTGAAAGACACAGCTGTGTTTTCCTTAATCACTTTCGCCTTGTAAGACGCATCTGCTTTCAGGTTGGTGAAGTACGCTTTACACGCCCTTTGTTCAGCCCCGCCACACTGAACGGCTACGTCGGTAAAGCCATCGGGAACGTCATTGTCAAGTTGTACAGTAAAGCCATTGTTGTTGGAGGCTTCCCATCTAACCTCGAGGTCGCTGCCGTCACTGAATCTCTGGACATAAGTCTGGAAATCTGGAAAAAGGAATTGTGCGAAAAAAAAAAAAAAAAAAAAATAAAATACAATTCATACTGAATACAATATTCCATAGCCTCTGAAAAAAAAAAAAATGCACCGAAACACTAAGAAATACACGACTAACCTTCAAAATCCACCACTTTTGCGCCAGTAACGAGATCTGCTCCATCCTTGCCTACCACAAGCACTTTGAACACGCGGCTTAATTCTACCATCAGTTCATCACTAATTTCAGAAGAACATGTGTTCTCGATGGCGCAAGAAAAGGTTACGCCTACGATGCCGTTGTCCTCTTCTTTGTACAAGACGGCTTCCATTCCACCGAACGTCGACTTGACAGTCATAACTCGTTTTGCATCGTCATTATTCAGCTCTACTTCATCCACGTCCATATCTGTTACAGTGTGTGAAAGAGATGACATATAAGTCCGGGGGTAGAACGGAAAATGCTAGCACTATCATGTACTTAAAAGGAAGGAGGGAAAGAAGGAAGGAGGGGAGGGAAGGGAAGGGAAAGGAGGGTAGGGAGGGCAAGTAAAGCGGTAGAGGGGAGGAAGGGCAGATGCGAGGAGGAGAAAGAAGGAGGGAAGGGGGGAGGGAGGAGGGAGGGAAAGTAAAGCGGTTTAAGGCGACCGTTGTGACATGTATCATCGCACTGGTTTTGAGAATTGTCAGTGCGTTTGTACTGGCGTGGGAAAATACGAGTAATACATATGAAAATATTGTAATGGACTTGCTCTTGATATGGTGAGTCACAGCTCAGGTGTCATTTATCTGCACGTTACTATTATTCTTTTGATGTTATTATAATCAATCCTTTACCAATATAATTCCCAATAGTAGTACATTTGTCATCTGCAATAGCATTATTTTTTCTATTATCTCTATTATGAAGATAATCATCATCATCGCTTAAGTACTTATACTGCTTCTGTTACTATTGATGTAGATATAATGGTAATTGTGATGATAATGATGATAAAAAATATGACAATGACGAAGATAACGATGCTGATGAAAAAGGATAACAATAAGAAATGTTCAGCTTGATAAATACACTATTGATTTGACGAACAAACGATGGCTCAGCACTGAATCGAAAAATGGGAAACTCTCTTTACCTTTGTAGCTTCCAATAGACCGAGTCAGATCGCACTGCCTGACCGTTCCTCCAGCGGGATCTGTGTTATCGAGGGTCACACACACTTCCACAGGTTTAGGGTCGCTCTCGAAGTCCAAGGAATAAGATGTTCCGGCGGCGAAGGGAACCCCGTTGATCTCCACATCCAGGTCCGTCTTGACTCTCAGAGGCGCCGTGTCTGCCCCGCCAACCCAGTCCATTGCTGGGTCGAGAGCTGGAGTTGGATATCATAATTAATATCGTTATTGATGCTCATTGTAGGGTCAATAGTTGGGATAGGATTAGTGTGTTACTTATTTTGGTTTTAATATAATTATTTTGTGTATGGAGGCTGTAAGTAATCAGGCCTAATCGCTTTAAAATAACCAGAGAGTAATACAAAAGGAAAAAAATGCAACAGAAGTCAAACGTACTCTTGAATTCAACCGTTATTTCTGCTACCGCCAAGGCAACGTTATCCTTATTTTTCGCAATGAAAAGCACAGTCGTCGGTGGGCTGAGAATATTATCCACTGGGTTGATATCGAAGTGGAAAACCTTCTCTACACCTTGCTCGATAATACCATCTCCCACTTCGGTTGATATTAGCAAGTGTTCATCTCCTGTACCGTCACCATTTTCATGCGTGACGACCAGGGTGACACTAGCGATGCCGTCAACGGGTTCGAGATCGTTAAAAACCGTTACGTCTGTGCCAAATGTGGCCGTGTCCGATTTCACGCGGTTTATTTGTTTCAGGACAAGGTTCTTCGGAACCTCAGTATCTGAAAAGGGAGAATTTTTGATGGGATTAAATTATTTGGAAAATTGGAAAATCCGTAATTTCATGTGGGCATAGAAAATTAAGTGAGAGAAAGGAGTGGCGAGTATATGCTGATTATAAACTATTAAGTTGTAGGGAAGGAATATTCAGGATTTAGAGTATCATGCTGTGTATGACGAAAACGAAAACAAAATAACCTCTCTTTTCCTTGTACTGTAATGGTGTCATTTCGAGCGATACAATCTGGTTCATTTTATCAGGAGCTCCTTCTCCAGCTTTATCCTCATAGGGACTGACAGTGGCCTTGTATTTGCCACCGGCCGTTAGGGGAAGATAGGCATAGCACACTATTTCCACATCCTGGCACATCACTTTGACAGTGGTGAAGGTCGGTGATCTGACCTCCATTCCCGGCGATGTGCTATTTTCAATGATAACCTGGTAGACGTCCCTCTCTGGCATTTTCTTAATCGCCAATTCAGACACCGTGCTCGTGATCTGCGCGCCCCTTAACTCCAGGCCTGGGAAGAATAGACATTACTGACGAGATTACAAGAGACAGTTCGTTACAGACTGAAAAAGAGCGGAAAGGGGGAAGTTTATCGATCAATGTATCTATACATATACAGCCTTGTTAGGGGATTTTAATTACGTGCAGGTCACTATAGTGTTCTTCAGAGAAGCTCTCATCAACAAAATACAAGTCACACCGCTACAATGCAGCTTTGAGGACCACGCCTCACTAATATAGCATTATTCTCCTCTGTAAGCCACTATCTGCTACATACAATGCCCGTTAATGGCTGCCTTACTGGCGCCTCTCCTCCTCAGTCATGGCCCTGGACAGCCAATCACAGAGCACCATCTACGCATGTCACCACACGCCTGCACGAGTCACAACTTGCTTTATGCATATATGTAAGTGTGTGTGTGTGTGTGTGTGTGTGTGTGTGTGTGTGTGTGTGTGTGTGTGTGTGTGTGTGTGTGTGTGTGTGTGTGTAAGAACATTGTATGCGTGTATTTATGTATATAGTAAGGAAGAGTTAGTGCACTTTCATCTGCTACAACTAAACAGATATATATGACCAATCATAAACAAAGGTTTAACTTACCATACACCGTCCTCTGCTCAGATTCCACGGATTTCCCTGTCGTGTCATCCTTATACACCACCAAGACTTCAAGATCCTGGACGCCTATGTATCCCTGCACTTCGCAATCAGCCCGAGGACAATACTTTAACGTGGGTGGATTGGGATCCTCTTGGTAATAGTACACGAGGCCGTCCAGACTGTTTCCGTCTGATGGAGTGTGCTGTACTGTGATTTTGGCTTCGTATTCCACCTTAATTTCTGTCATAGCCGTAACTGTAGGGGTAAAGAACTGCTTTGTAATTCAATTTTTTTTTTCATATAGATAAGATCACGAGTCTGTATACACATTCGAATGTCAGTCTTTCCGTAATGTAAATACACTCTAGGCCTACATCACATGGCACACTCAACACTGAGGCGCCAGCAATATTATTCAATTCACTCTGTGGTTGACTACAGTGAGCCATTGCATACTCTTGCGACTTACACAGCTACTGAGACATTCTCGCCATGAATACCCCAAGGACAGAAAGAAAAATGAACTTTTATTGGCTTGAAAATGAAAAAAAAAAAAAAAAAAAAAAAGCTTTTATTGGCTTGAAAATGCAAAAAAAAAGCTTTAATTGGTTTGGAAATGCGAAAAAAAAGCTTTCATTGGCTTGAAAATGCAATTTGACAAAAGCAATAACTTGCTTCTTTCTTAGCAGCGTGACCAAAGATGGATATATAGTCCTTATAACTCTTGAAATATTTATATTCATATAAATGCATAATATATATATATATATATATATATATATATATATTATATATAATATATATATATATGCATATATATCATATATGCATATATGCATATATATATATATATATATATATATATATATATATATATATATATATATATATATATATATATATATATATATATATATATATACATATATATATATATATATATATATATATATATATATATATATATATATATATATATATACATAATATATATATACATATATATATATATATATATATATATATATATATATATATATATATATATATATATATATATACATACATACAGATATATATATACACATATATATATATATATATATATATATATATATATATATATATATATATATATATATTATATATATTTGTATATATATACATATATATGAAATAAATGTAAACAAGGGAGGGAAAATAAAGCCTCACCTCCGGCTGTTGCATCCTTCAGTTCGACTTGACGTGTACATATATCGACGTTTCCGTTATCTACCGGCTTCCTACACAGTTGTATGGACGCTGGTAAGGTTGCCGGCTTGTCCAACAGATGATAGCTGACGCCCACGACGCCCGTGCTGGCTTGGATGGCGAGGTCGTCATCTGTCATCTGAATAGTGTCCGTCTCGAGGGAATGGCTGTCACAGCTGATTCGCACGACTTGCTTCTTCCCAATGAGATGAGCTGGGTCGCAGGTAGGGAAGGTAACCACGTCTTGCGATTGGAAAATGAGAAGGGCTTAGGTAAAGGGTAATCAGATGAGTAAATGATAATATGGATAGACGTGGATGAGAAGGGGAGAGAGAGAGAGAGAGAGAGAGAGAGAGAGAATTTCCTTTAGATATAAAAAAGTCAGTTGGGATAAAGGCCCTGCTCACACACACACACACACACACACACACACACACACACACACACACACACACACACACACACATACATATATATATACATTGTTTATGGGGTTAGGCACAAGACCCAAGCACACAATAATGATGATAAGACGCAAAAGAAATCCAAATAAAGATAATATAAATATTCTAAAAAAAACAAACATGTTTCCTGGATGTTGATATATAAATATATATTGTAAGCATGTAATTCAATTATCAGAGAAATAACATTCACACACAAGCAAGGAAAAAAACGATATTTTGACTTTGCAACCGGTCAAAGACTTGTCTAAACTATATACCAAAAGAGATGATGGGAAGAATCACCAACGACATTGGTAACTTAACAGTAAACTATTTTATTCTGATACTTGCTAGCTTCGGTATGTGACTTAGTGCGGTCTATGCTTGGGTATATTTAGCAAAGGAAAGAAGAATGTTGTGCTTCTGTTATCAAGCCAATGAGTTTATATGCAAATACATACATACATACATACATAACATAATATATATATATATATATATATATATATATATATATATATATATGTAAACAATATCGTTCCACATATCTGCCCCTACTTGAAACAAAGGCTGTACCTTCCTGTCGAAGTTCTCCTGAGTCTACATCACCAGATGAAGCAGCTGCTTCACACCTTCCACTCTCGAGCCTAGTTGACCCAAGGTGAATGCCTTCCAGGTGACACATCTCCTTCAGCAAGCCCTGCGAACTCACCCTCCTTTGCCACAGTCGAATAAATATGACAATCCAGTAGGTGGAAACAAACAACTGTCCTCGAAGGGAGCCGCCGCATAAAAGGACATGGCTCATCAGACAGAGAGAGAGAAACAGCAGACAGATGATGACACACGGGGTCTAGCTCGTCATCACTCCACCCTCGGCACTCGGGGAGACGTGGGTCTCTTGGGGGTCTTACATTTAACTTTGGTAATAACCCTACAATCAAAGACCCCTTTCATTCACCTGTACTAAGGCCACCGTCTCTCGTTCATATCTAGTGGCAAAAGGTGGTGGTGGGAGTGGTGGTCCTAACCTCTACATTCACATACACACATACACATACATGTGTGTGTGTGTGTGTATGTATATATATATATATATATATATAAATATATATATATAATATATATATATATATATATATATATATATATATATATATATATATATATATATATATATATAAACATATATGTGTATGTGTGTTGTGGATGGGTGAGTGAATGTGTGTCTATTTTATAAAAAATAAAATAATAATAATAATAATAAAAATAATAAATAAAGAAATAAAGAAAGAAGAATCTTCAACATACCAGGAAATGTGAATTGCTCTTCACCGTACACAAAATTCCCATCATCAACGTGAAGTCGCAGCACCCACGTGAGCTGTGTTTGATGCTTTATCCAGCTCATCAGTAAATCCGATGCCTCGAAATCAGCCCTTGTTTCTGATACGCCTGTCAACTCCATATTTATTATCCTTGCTGCATCTATATTCATGGCGGACAGTTCACCTCCAGACAACGTTCCCGAAGGTCCGGTGTAATGAATTGAGAACTTCTGCGATTTAATGTCGGTGATTTCGAATTTCGTGATGACCAGGTCAAGGCTCCTTTCTGGAATTGAAGAATAAAGATCATAGTAAAGAGGAGAGGGAGAAAGAGAAAGGGAAAGAGAGAAATTTCTATATGTAAACAGACTAATACAGAAGGAATGGCGGGGGTAGACACACGAGTTAGAAGAGAAAGAGTGAAAAGGAAATGCCTATTTAAGAAAAGATAATTCAAAAATACACGATTCAGTCTCAGGATAGAATGGAGATATTCTGACTTACTAAAGAAAGCTTCGGCATGAGCACTTGCCACGACGTTCAGTCCGTCGAGGTCTCTTTCAATTACGATCACAGTAACTTTCCCGGGGATGAGTAGTTCATCGCTTGATAGAGTTACCCCTGTAAAGCAAGTAACCCCTTCCGTTTTCTGTGTCGCACCTCGGGATCGAATCCAATGCCCCTTTTGGTCGACTATCACCAATTCAAAGTGTGAGAGGTTCTTCGAGGTTACAGCCTTGTTGGTGAAACATACCTTGGGGAAAGCCTTTGACCCATCGCTACTCCAGTCAAGGTGAACTTCCTGTATTTTGAGGTCTGTAGAATATGGAAAAGAGAGGTTTATATGGCCATTTTCCTAATGAATTTGATGGAACAGTGCATATGATATAGCCTGTTTCGGTGAACAATTGCAATAAACCTTTCACAATTTTACCATTAGTGCAGAGAAAAGAAGGAATACAATGCAGATTTGTTTTTTTAAATACGTGGAAGAACATGGAGAATCACACAGAACGAAAATGAAAAGGTAGATGGTGGAAACAAATTGAAAATATTACCAAAGAGATTACAATGCAAGTAAAAAGACGTAAAGCTCTGTACCTGATGATTTGCTTTTTGAGTTCTGAATTGTTTGTTTGGATGACAGGACGCTGTTCTCCTCGAGCATGTTAGACCCAGTCCAAGGGCGTACCATCACCTTAAAGTCACCTGGCGGCAAATTAATGAAGTATCCAAAGCATTCTTTCATGTCTTCGCAATTCACTACGGCGGATGTGAACGGAGGCTCCGTTATTGTTACTTCCTGGCCTTCGATGTCCGTGAGGAGCAATTTGTATTGGTTCCTTGTCTGTGTCCATCGCATCTCCAGCGTGTTTGGTTCGATCACTGTGCCAATGGGGGAGTAATCTGGAACAGAGTGGAGCACAGAAGGCTTTGTAAGAGTCGTGCAATGTGTAGGCATTTGTGAGGATCGTACACTGTTTGTCGGGGTCGTATGACTTATTGATATCTATTGGCGTCTATGAAGAAGAGAACTAAATGCTTAAGGATGTACTAAGATGGACATAGGAACGGGGGCCCCAAGGTTGACAGAAATATAGGGCCCCTCATAATATATATATATATATATATATATATATATATATGATATATAGATATACTACATATAGATATATATATATTGTATGGATATAATATATATATATATATGTAAAAATGTACTAAATATATATAGAATATGTATATATATATATATATATATATATAATATATATATATATATATATATATATATATATATATATATATATAAAAAAATCTTGCAGGGCAGCCCAGCTCGAGAGGCTCTAGCCTACAGCCTATAGGATAATTCGCTCCTACATTCATAGCGTCACATCAAAGGTGATTCATACAAATTAATGCCAGTGATGCGCAGCGTGTTTGTCGCATCAATAGTATAATAAAAAATAAAAAAATAAATAAATAAATAAATAAAAATAATAATGTTGATTGGGTCCCTGCTTTTGGTGGGGCCCCCCAAGCCTTCAGCCTAATCATCCTTCGAAATAAAATGGCTTAGGATGGATCTGGCATATTTCCCACACATCCGTACATGTGAAAGTAGGAAATACACATGTCTATACAATTATGATAGAAATGCTTACTTTTAAATAGCATTATTAAGGGAGGAAGCTTCTGTCACATTGCTATCTGTTTCTTCATGCTGTACACATGCAATTTGATCACGCGCACACATATACGCACACATGATATGAATTCTTACCTTCAAATTTCATGACCAAAGAAGCTCCTGTTATTTCCCCATCTGCTTCTTGATAATCCACGAAGAAGACGTCGTACTGATTATTACTCGACGGAAAGTCCTGAATCATACAAGAAGTGGTTCCTAAACACGCCAAAAGACGCCCATCACTCCAGTACAGGAGGTCGCGCTTCTCACCGGCACCAATATCCTTCGCGACAGAGAGGGTTCCTTCCGCTGGCGCTGTTTGGTCCTCCTGGTGACTCAGACGGACCTCCCCTCCGTAGGTAATTCCTGCGTGAGGGAAGAAGAAGGGGAGGAGGAACGTGAGTGGTATATGGCTTGAAGGCCAAGGGGACTTTTGTGGTAGAATGTCCGTGGTGAAATGCAACATAGAAAAACTTGCACGTACATATATAGTTGGGAAACTTGCAGGTAGAAGGTTAGGGTACATAAGTTGAAGGGGACTTTTGTGGTAGAATGTCCGTGGTTAAATGCAACATAGAAAAACTTGCAGGTACATATGTAGTTGGGAGACTAATATATATATGTGTCCGTGGTTAAATGCAACATAGAAAAACTTGCACGTACATATATAGTTGGGAAACTAATATATATGTGTGTGTGTGTTCTCATATCTGTATCTATCTGTCAATCTGTCTTCCTGTCTCTCTCAGTCTATTTGTCTATCCATCTATATACATCTGACTAAATAGCCTTATCATTTCATTGCAGTTTTTTTCTGATATATTAGATATTCTGATATCATATTATCAATTTATCCATTCATGTTTCCGTTTGCAAGTATGTGTATGTATATAGGTTATGTGTTATGTGCGTACCTCTTCAAATACTTCTTACACGTAATTGATTCAGTTTTCTATACCATAAAGATCACAGAGAAACTTCATATATCATGAATTATAAAGGAAACTGATAATATAATAATGATAAATTAATAAAAAAGAATTATGATAAGTAAAGGATAAATAAGTAATGATAAACAGTGACAAATAAATAACAATGAAGTTACAAAATCTGACACTTCAACCACCATCCTCGCAAACTCACCAGCGGCCGTCGTGATATCCACAGTAACCAAGCAAAATGGTACAGCTGGATCTCCCTCCGTCGGTACGCAGAGGACAGCAGCGGCACCCGATAGGCCAGAAGACGCTTGATAACTCTCCTCCTTCGGGAAATCAAGACAGTCTTTGTTGTCTTCGCCTCCTTCGGGACACGCCAGGACACGCACAGGATGTCCGTAAAGGCGTAGGACTTCTCCCGGTTCTGAAAGCTTTCTTGCGCCGACCCAGCTGGCCTTCACGCCGGACACGTCTGGTCAGAGGAATGTGGATGAGTAATGGTTCTATATATATATAATATAATATATATATATATATATATATATATATATATATATATATATATTTGATGTGTGTGTGTGTGCATCTGTCACTTCAGTTCTCCTCTAGCTTTACAACTTTTAAACTCATAATGATCATGATAATTAGTGAATACTCATTATGATCATGATAATCAGTGAATAAACTCATAATGATCATGATAATTAGTTAATAAAATAATGATCACGATGATTAGTTAATAATAAATATAAATGATCATGATAATTAGTTAATATACTCATAATGATCATGATAATTAGTGAAAAAAAAAAAAAACAACAACACAGCAACCTGCCAATGTAAAGGCCACATCGCTGGACGCTTTGACAGCCTGATCTTCTTTCGTCTTCAGCGCCAGCGTGAAGACCGTCTGCTTCTTTGAGAAGGTCTTCGACGTTCACCTCAAACACCTGTGGATTGCTAGAGGCCTGCGACGTGGACACAAGGCTGATGGGACCGCTTGGGGGACTCTTCAGTTCGTACTGGTCTTTGGCATCGTCGGGTGTGACGCCGTTGGTCGTTGTGCAGAAAATGTTTATTGAGTTGGTGTCGATTCTCTGCAGGCGTTTGACCTCCAAGTCTGTGAGATTGAGGTGGGTATTGAAGAGGATTAGAGGTTAGGGAAATAGGTAGGAGTTGGGGTGTTAGGTTTGTGAGGAATAAGTTGTGATTATGAGGAGTTGTGAGGATAAGGGAGACAGGAAGGTGTTGAACTGTTGTGATTGTAGTTGTGAGGGTCCTTAGAAATAAAAGAGGGGAAACAAGACGAGATTAAGAAAGAAGAGTATAAAAACTGTGCAAGAACTAAGAAAATGTGCATTTCTTAAGCATTGAAAGTTATATATTAACTCAAAATATGCAAAAGCTGATAGAATATATATTTTCAAAATAATCATGACTTTGAATTACCAAACGAATGCAAAATGCGAGGGAAAAGAAAAGAAAAAAATTATATGACAAATGAAGAGAGAGAGAGAGGTCTCGAATATGTGTGTGTGTATGTGTGTGTGTGTTTGCGTGCGTGCGCGGGCGTGTGTGCACAAATAACCATATCTATTTCTTATACTATATATATATATCCAAACAAACAACCCCCCCAAAAAAAAACAACAACTTACCATCCGCCTTCACTCGAAAACTTATAACCAAAAGAAAAGCCAGAGTTAGGAGGGGTCGCCGCCCCCTTCTCTCCCACGCCATCTCGATGTCCTTCTCCACCCGAGACTAAAAGGGAAAAAGGATTGGCGAATCAGTGGAGGAATGTTGTGGATAATGGTGGTTGTAATGGGGGAACTGGTAATGATGAGGAGGATGAGGATAACACGATAATGGTAATGATGGTAATAATGTGATGATGATAATGATGATGTGGAGGATAATGATAATGAGGATGAGCATATTGATGATAATAATAATGAGGATAGTGATGATGATAATGATAATGTGATGATGAGGATAATGATAATGATGAGGAAAATGATAATGATTAGGATAATGATGAGGATAATGATAATGATGAGGAAAATGATAATGATTAGGATAATGATGATGAGGATAATGATAATGAGGAGGAGGAGGAGGATAATGATATGACAATAATGATGAAGATAAGGATAATGATATGACAGTAATAATGATATGATAATGATAATAAGAACGATAATAATAATGGTGATGATATGCTAGGGACGATAATGATACTACAGCTGTCACTATTTCTACGACTAAAGATAATAACAATAGTTGATAAGGAAGATAATTAATAGGCACCAGTACTGTTGCTACCCTCCCCCCCCAAAAAAAAAAAAAAGAAAGAAAGAGAAGAAGAAGAGAAGAGAAGAAAAAGAAAAGAAGAAGAAGAAGAAAGAAGAAAAAAAAAAAAGAAGAAGAAAGAAGAAGAAGAAGAAGAAGAAGAAGAAGAAGAAGATAATAAAAAAATAAACAAATATATATATATATATATATATATATATATATATATATATAAATACATAAATAAAAAATAGAAACAAAATACAGCAACAACAAAAACAACAAAAAAACAGTAACAATAAGAACGATTAAGAATATGGATAATACTGGAATTGATAATAAAGTTAATAACAGAATTGCAAAGGATAATGGCAATAGTAACTGTAATGATAGAAGCATAATAAAGAAAAATATTGATACAATAAACCAACAAAAACAGAATCATGCTAGTTATACCAATAAAAACAATAAAGGTATTGACGATGATGATAATGATGATACTAATAGCAGCAATTCTGATGATAGTAATAATACTGATGGTGAGGATAATGATAATTGTGACGATAATGGCATTAGTGATGACCATAACAACAGCAACAATAATTATCTCAACAATAATGATAATGGTGAAGATGATGATGGTAAGAATAATAAACTATGGTGATACTGGTGATTATGATTAATGATAACACTGATAATAACGAATTTGATTGTAACAATGATAACCAAATCAATATTGACAATGACAACGGCAGTGATAATTGTTATGATGCTAATGGGTATAATGACATTGATGATAATAGCAATGATAAGAATGGTGATGATATTATGAATTATAATGATGATGATAATGATGATGATATTATGATAATGATGATAATGATGATATTATGAATAATAATGATGAAGATATTATGAATAATAATGATAATGATAACAATGATAATAATAACAATAATGATAATAATAACAATGATAATAATAACAATAATGATAATGATAACAATAATAAAAAATAATTATCATAATAATAACTGATAGCAATGATAACAACAATAATCGTGACATTAGTAAGAACGATGATAATAATCATAATAACAAAAACACATAGGAATTGATGATAATAATGATAAGAAGAATCATTATGATTATCTTAACAATAATGATCATGATAACAGTACAGTCGTGACTATAACTTTGATAAATTGATAATAATGATAATAATAACGATAATGATAGTAATTAACGGCAAATTTATGTTAATAATTATTTAATAATGATGATGCTATTAATAATGATGATAGTCGTAGTATAATGAAATGCATATAGATGCTAGCTATTACTGGTATGACAATAGTTAAAAGAAAGCAATAATGAATAAAAACAATCATCATCATCATGGGGGCTGACGCCGACGGGGGCGCATAGCCGCATCCACCCTTCGCTTCCACCTACGAGGATCCCTCATGGCTAGACGCCAGGCAGGGACTCGGCCCATCTCTAGTTCTTCACGGCAGGTTTGGTCGATCTGCCCAAGCCATGACTTCCTCGGTCGTCCCACAGGCCTCCTCCACCCAGGGTTGTCTCGAATAGAGACGACCTGATGGGCAGGATCATCCTGAGGAAAGCGAGCCAGGTGGCCGTATAGCCTGAGTTGGCGATCACGGATTGTGCAGATAACAGGGCTTGTGCCAGTCTCACGGTGCAACCGTTGGTTGGACACGTGGTCCCGCCAACAGTACCCCATGATCTGGCGCAAGGACCTATTGCAAAAGGCTTCAAGACGAGCCTCCAAGGCACAGGACAATGTCCAGGTTTCGTTACCGTATACCAAAACTGGCATTATCAGGGCCTTGAAAACCCGTAGCTTGGTCCTTCTGCACAGGTACCGACATCTCCAAATACTCTTGTTGAGAGAGTTCATGACCCCTGCTGCCAGGCCAATCCGTCTGCTGACTTCATGGTCTGACAGCCCAGAGTTATGAACTACACTACCAAGGTATGTAAAGCTCTCTGTGACTTCAATGTCCTCGCCGCAAGCACGTACCGACTGAACAGGTTCTCCTAACAAGTCCCCAAATTCCTGGACCTTGGTCTTGGTCCAGGAGACCTCTAGACCCAGGGGCTTCGCTTCATTGCTAAATGCATCGAGAGCCGCCACTAGGGTTTCAATAAAAACAATAAACAAATATAATAAGAATAAAACACCTATTACAGTCAACAGCGAACTATATCTAGTTAAAATAACAATGAAAAATTATAATAACTTTACCTCACTCAGCAGTAAAATTCCACAAAATACGTTTAGAAAATAAAGATTGAGGCAGAATTTTAGGTTCGTCTATACCCTTTGCCTGCTGCTCGCACTCTGCTGACTGCTGACTTGACGGCGGCCGGCGTGAACAAGTGATTAAAACTGATACAGGCTGTGTATCTCAAGTGTCAGCAACAGAGATACATATTTGGCAGAATCCCGTGTTTTATTTTCCCTATTTTTTATTTCTTTATTTTGTTTTAAGGGTTGAGGGGTCTCTGTGTTTATACATGATAAAGAAAGATGGACTATATTTAGATTAGCTTGTATATTTTCTTAACTGATATGTGCTTCTTGTATACATGTAAATCATTCTAGAAAACTGTTCCATTCAACAATACTTATAACTGGAAATCTGTTTTTTATCATTCATTTAATTCCACATGCTTATTGTCAAATATTATTTCTTACTAATCACTTGAAAGAATATATATATATATATATATATATATATATATATATATATATATATATATATATATATATATATATATATATATATATATATATATATATAACTTCCTGAGACACAATTACAGAACATAAGTAGGTCAACCCATTTTCTCCTTTCTTTTATGGTCTAAGTATTATTTCTAAAAATATTCATTAAAATCCCTTAATGAAGCAGACACGTCTAACTAAAGCTCGTTAAACTCGATATTCTCTATCTACGTTTTTGCCTCTTGATAGCATGATGCTTTATGATAGTCATAATGATTTGGTATAACGTCTATATACATAAACATTTCTCTTTGTTCCTTCAGTTTGTAACCTCATTTTGTTCATTCTATCACTCTCTACATACACGAATACTCTCCCCGTATCCCAGACAGACTTTTTTGGTCCGCAAGAATTATTTGGTCAAATTCTGTCCGCGGAAATGTAGTTCTCGGGTAACTTTCCGCGCACGCTTAGTTCTTTTTTAAAGTCATCTTCCGCGCATAAAATTCTTTTGGCTTTTCCGCGCACTTGTTTCATCAGATTCGTTCGCAAAAATGTAGACAAAATGATGATTTCCGCGCATGAAAAAAATGTAATATTCTCCGCGCAAGAAAAATGCTCTACAGTCTGGCCCGATCTACAATTAGTGACATCTTTTGGCGAATTTTGTTACTTAGTGTGATCTGGATCCAGTCTCCGATTAACAATTATGTTGCTTCTCTAACCATGTATTGACGTAAGAGTTTTTATTTATTTTGTTTTTACTATTCTAGATTCTTGCTGTATCTGGACTCTGATGCGATTTTTTAACCCTTCATATTCTAGTTAAAGCGCATGAGAAGTTTAAGTTCATTTAGATTTAGACGTGATTCTTTATTTAACCCTTCTTTGCAACATTTGCGTGTGTGTGTGTGTGTGTGTGTGTATGTGTGTGTGTGTGCGTGTGAGTGTGTAAAAGAAAACATAATCAAGATGACCCTTTTCTTAAATTCAGGGAGTTGATGAAAATGATAAAAAGTGACTGGTAACAACTTTTTTTTTCTGTTTTAGGATAAGTTCCCTTTTCCCGTTTGCTTATTTTTCGATCATTACATTTGCCCCTTTCTCTCTTTCATTTTTTCTTTCTTTCTTAGATTTGCCTCTTTCTTTATTTCCTTTTCTTTCCTTTCTTCGATTAATAGATCTGTTTTCTTTCTTTCGTTATCCTTTGTACTCACCTATTAATTAGTTTTCTTTCTTCAATCGTAATTGCTATTCGGCCTATTACCTATTTACTACCTATTACCTATTTATTCCTATGTATCTATTTATCTACTTTGATCTCTCAGATTGTTCACACACACACACACACACACACACACACACACACACACACACACACACACACACAACCACACACACACACACACACACACACACACACACACACACACACGCACGCACACACACACACCACCCCCCCCCCCCCTACCCAGAGCCCCTCCCCAATACACTTATTCTGCGTATTAGTACAATGGATGGAATTATCTAGATTTTACAGAGAATTCTGATATCGGGAAATTCTGAGAAACTGAGTCGAGTTTTTATAAAGTCATCAGTCCGCTACTTTAAAGATTATTTTTATCATCCACATTGGAAAGTATGAGTCTAATGTCTTAATTTTAAAAGAGGTTAGTTATCAGCAGTAAGTTTAATTTTAAAATTTATATACGCATTTAGTCATAAGTAAAACTTTTATGCCATCTTTGCAGATCGATGAATATGCAAATTACCCACGTTAATCTAGACTAACATATGAAAAAATCCTCATTAAGTAATAGGGTTACATTTTATTGTTACAGTACATTTACTCATTCGTTCTCGCTTCTACTCCCTCTATATTTTTATTCTCTATTTTCCTTCCAGATACAGGAAATCTAACAACTTTCTTTTTCTGTCGCAAAGCAACCTCTGATCATTATTGTCTCCAGATATGTTATCAGTAATTATAAACACTTGAAGATTCCCCAGCATCCTCCCTTCCTTTATCAACACTAAGGGTCTTATCTTATCCAAGTATTCTTGCTTCTCAAAAGCAATGTAAAGACTGACATATTTCACGTACGCACACACACACACACATATGAACACGAACACAAACCGGCAACCGAACACACACGTTCGCCCCCCCCCCTCTCTCTCTCTCTCTATCTCTCTATCTCCCCTTCCCTCCCCCTCCCTCTCTCTCTCTCTCTCTCTCTCTCTCTCTCTCTCTCTCTCTCTCTCTCTCTCTCTCTCTCTCTGTCTCTGTCTCTCTCTCTCTCTCTCTCTCTCTCTCTCTCTCTCTCTCTCTCTCTCTATGTCTCTGTCTCTCTGTCTCTGTCTGTCTCTCTTCTCTTTCTCTCTCTCTCTCTCTCTCTCTCTCTCTCTTCTCTACTATATATATATATATATATATATATATATATATATATATATATATATATATATATAAAACATATTGCATAACATAATGCATCATGCAAGCTCACAGACCCCTTGGGCATATGCTATAATTCCAACTGCAACACTCCCATCACTTGGTCAGATAAAAGGTGACCCCAGCTTGACCTCTCTCTCAGACTCAGACTCACATCCTCTTCCGTACGGTCAGAGTGACCCTTCTCTTCGCTGCAGTCCTCTCTGTTTCTCTCTTTCTGTCTCTCTGTCTCTGTCTCTGTCTCTGTCTCTCGTCTCTCTCTCTCTCTCTCTCTCTCTCTCTCTCTCCTCAACTCTCTCTCTCTCTCGTCTTCTCTACTCTCTCTCTCTCTCTCTCTTCTCTCTCTCTCTGTCTGTCTCTGTCTCTGCTATCTCTATCTCTGTTTCTCTTCTCTCTCTCTCTCTCCTCACCAGGGTTGGCTAGCGCTAGCGCGCACCGCATCACACTCTGACCAACCTGACCAACCTCGCTCGTATCGTTTTCTATTCTACTCGCGTGTAAACTCTTTAAGAATGAGAGTTTTACTGTATCAAGCATATTTCTCTGCCCACCAGTCTTAATATAGAAGGGGAAACCTTTTATCTCTCTCTCTCTCTCTCTCTCTCTCTCTCTCTCTCTCTCTCTCTCTCTCTCTCTCTCTCTCTCTCTCTCCTATTGCAGTTTATCTTATCTCATTATCTCCTGCAGATGACATGGTGGAAAGTTTGTTCCTATAATGTTGCTCGATCCACACGAGTAACTTGTCCACTATCAAGAAGATAGTAAAACAAAAACTATTAAAATAATGTAAAAGTACGTTAAAAGCAGGAAGAAGAAATATAATTTTTTCCTTGTAATTTGTCTAGTATTATGTAAAAGGTATTCAGTTTTTTCCCAAATTTGCTGGAGTCCATCATATACTTGTTTTGTTTCTCAAGAGGATATTGATAGACAGATATAGATAAATAGACAGACACATAAAAAGTCAGACAAACCAAATGAACAACAACAAAAAATAGAATGGCAAGATTTGAAAAAAAAAAACTATAAATAACAAGACAAAGGAATGGCGAAAATGTTTAAAATGAAAGGAAGTCATGACTAGTTTCTTTGTGTCTCTCTAGCTTCCCTCTTTATTTTCGTTTCCCCTTTTTTATGAGATTTGTCCCCATTCGAAGATCATATGCTTGCCCTAAAGTGGCTCGGAACAATAATAGATAGATGAATAAATAAATAAATTATATAAAACAAATTAATATCAAAGGCAGTAAGTATGAAGGAAGTATAACCGATCCAAATGTGAATATTTGCACCGATCTTTCAGGTGGGAAAGGCTAGATCAATATCAACTCAAGGAGGTGTCATGGCGTCTGATTCTATTTTTGGAAAAAAAGCACGTGGGGTTTATTTTGATGACGTCACAAAAGTTACGGATGCTTTGTGAAAGTCTATCATTTTGGTCTCTTCCATTTTCAAAAAGGATGGAAAATAATGACTTTAATGGTTATGTTTTCATTGAACAATCATTAAAACAGACGCCATGACACCTCGAGTTGCAAGTGATCTAGTCTTTCCCTCTTTCAGGTGTTGCTGAGCATGTGCAGGGCCAAAAACAAGATACCGGTATTAGCATAAGTATAGTATTTAGCGTATAAGTATAGTATTTTATTTTATTTATAGTATTTATTTTAGTATTTATAGTATTTATTTATTTATTATAGTATAAGTATAGTATTTATATAGTATTTAGCGTAAGAGTGTCTTTTGGACTGAAGTTATATGAATTTTGATGAATTGTGGACCTTGAGGAATCTAGAAATTGTGAATTCGGGTATTTCCTTGAAATGTTTTTGCATTGTAATCGATAAATGTGCTTAAAACTATTGATTGACTAATCTTATGAAAGGCTCCATTAGACTAAAATAATTACTTAGTATCTAAAATATTTTGTGGGCGCCGGAAGTATAGTTAAAAAAAAAAAATGTTTTTGGAAGCCTTTTTGGGGGGAGGGGGGAGGGGGCTGCTGCTACATCTTTTGAATTTCATGTTGTCGAATCTGACATATTCAGTTTCTACTCTACGAAAAGCACAGATTTAGGTAATCATAACTCCATCTATAATAAGATTATACATTTACTATAGAGGCTATTACTACCACAGTATATATGTGCATATACATTATACATACATACATATATA